CTTCCCCCAAGCCCTCTGCAATCTGGAGGGCAGCCCCAGTCCACCTGCCTCCTGCATCACTGTTGGCACTGCAGGTCCCAGCAGCTTGCTGGGACATCCACAACCCCCTCCTTGTCCTCCCTTGCAGAGTGGTGCTGCTCAGTGCCGGTCCTTGCCACAGCACCAGCATCTTGGGCAGTGGGACGTTCATGGAGATAACCCCCAGGGGTAAATCATGCTGTCATCTCCCAGCATCTCACTGTCCCATCCCTGCCACAGTATCTCACTTCATAAGATGGGAGACCTGTATGGGGTTAACTCCTGGTGGTGTTACTCCGGCCATTACCTGAGGGATGCCACTGCTGTGAGGTTAGGAGGAGACGGCAGCCCTGGCACGGATGGAGTGCCATCTCTCTGCCTGTTCTGCAGAGGTTTAAGAGCAAACTCAAGGGCTGGCTTTTTCATGCCATGTAACAGGGCTGCACAATATCAGAGATAAGTGGAAACAAGTTCAGCCAGTCTAAAAACTGGGATTAAGGCAAGCTCAGCCATGGCTGCTGGCATTACAACCGAGTCTCCACCTCCAGCCCTGGGAGTCCTTGAAGTACTGACAGCCAGAAGATGGGAAGACCCAGCCCAGGGCAAGGTCATGTCAAATCTGCCCTTGGCATCCCAGAGCAACGCCAGCTGTGGCTCTGGGCCGCTCCGCAGGGCTGTAGGCCTGCTATAGGGGAGCAATCCCAGCACCAACGGGATGGCAGCGAAGCGTGGCACAGACAGATGGCAACGCGCATGGCTGCAACCAGAAAAACAAAGTGATGAATGCACCGTTGTTTCTGTGCTGCTTATTGCTTGTTCCTGTCCAGACTATTTAGCCTACTTAAAAAAGATCCTTCCCAGCCTTTTGGCAACACATTAATTGTTCCATCTCTTATCCGTTTAGGATTTGACACATCATCCATCTAATGCAATCTGTCTGCATTTCCGACACCTCCGACCCGCTCCCAGCGCTGCATGTTGGCACGACGCAGAGTGAAGAGGGATGGCACGTGGGGCCAAAAGAGGCCGGGAGCTTCTTGCAGCTCCACGCTAGCACACACACAGCTTCTGGCTTCAGCACACCGCTGCCAGGAAAGACAGCCCTGTGCTGGCCCTGGACACAGGTGACCTGTCCTGACATCCTTTAAGGGAGCGGGGTCCGGCCCTATCCCTGCTGCCTTGTCTCTCATGGGAGCCTGGAGGGCTCTGAGCACCGGGCACCTCCACCCAGTGTCAGGGATACCGCGCTGGCAGTGGATGAGCTGCGCTCTGTGGTGATGGGATGTCTGGGTCCACACTGACCCATCCCTAGTGCCCCGGTGCCCAGCTGGATGGGTACCCATGGCTTTCCACTCCCTCATGCAGTGGCACATGGCTGGAGAAGCAAAACAGTAAGACCTGGGGAAGGGAACTGCTCAGGAGCGGAAGGGTGCGGGCATCTCCCAGAGTGGGAGGGACTCTTGCACCCATCAGCGGTCCCAGTGGGGGTGCAGCACCCACAGGCACAGAGTGCAGGGCTGCCTCCATCGCCAGGAGAGCGCAGCTGCGGAGAGGCACAGGCGAGAGCATCTCCCCTGTGACTGACTACACGCTGCCTCATTAGCTGCTCTGCTACTCCATGAGCATTTAAAAAAACAACAGCAACAACAACAACAAAAAAAAAAATTCACACGATTCAACCAATTTTCTCAAACAAATGTTATCCAAAGCCATTGTTTGCAGCTGAAAAGGGGACCAAACGTAGCACTGTGTCTCTGCTCGTCTGGCATGGCCAGGGAGAACACCTGCTGTTTGCAGAGATGGAGCTGGCTGCCAAGAGACAGCAGAGCCGCTGAGCTGCTGGCTTCCCAGGGGACATCCCCCCCTTTTCTCCCCCCTGAACGGCCCACAGCAACTCCAGCTCCCCCATCCAACAAGCCCCCGCAGCACATGAACATGAGGATGAACTGCGAGACTCAAGGCACTGGGATGCCTCAGAGATGTGGCTGAGCTCAGTGCGATTGCTCTGGGGAAATCGAGGCAGGGGTTTGCTGACCAAGTCACAGCCAAGTGGATGACAAGTCCCAGACCACAGCTGCCCAGTTAAAGCTGCTGTGTCCACAGATCTGTCCTTTTGTGTGCAATTTGACGGAGTCCATGGCTGAGCCACAACCCTCCGGTGACTGCCCAGGAACAGCAGTTTCTCACGCGGCTGAATTACCATCAGAAAAGATTAGCAGGGAAATCTCTGCAGCTTAAATGGACAAAAAGAAAAGATAGCACACCTCATTTCAGCCACAACCAGTCTGCTGTCCAGCATTAAAAGGAAGAGGGGAATAAAGAGCTGGATACTGACAATAAAACTTCTTTACCAGGCTCTTAAGCTACTCCTCGCCTGATAAGACTTAGATGCTGCAGAGGCATTACTGGGAAATTAAATAAAAGAGGACCAGTGTCCTTGTAAGCAGGACTTATCCACTCCTAGAGAAGCAGTAATGTGCTCAGCAGCAGGTACAACATGCTTTCTCTGGGCTGCAGCTCTGAACGTCCTTCCCGTGGCAGCTCTCCCACACTGGGCTTGGGGCACAACATGTGCCCACCCTGGACCAGAGCAAGAGGTCAGAGAAAACCAGCAGCAGGAGCAGGTAATGCTCTCCCTAACACTGGTAATTACAGCATGGCTGTACTCCAGAACCACAGGTGGTGGTGAAAAAAAGCCTGTTTTTTGTGTTTCTTCTTCCAGTTCCTGGGCAGAGAATCATGCTGGGCTGCAAATCTCTTGGCCTCGCTCTAGCATCAGGGAACTGGGGCTATAAAACAATGCCTGGAGCTCAGCAGCTCTGCCCCAGCAGCAGCACCCAAGCTCAGCCCTATCCCAGGCCTGGTGGCCAGTGATCCAGACCATGCTGCTTGGAAAACACCCACCACCCCCCTTGGTGGGCACAGACCAGCGCTGATGCCATCCCACCGCAGGGAGCAGATGGCCATTCATGTCCATGTCCCCACCTTGCCTAAGTCCCTGCCTGCCTGCTGCCAGCTCCCAGCCCAAGGGGTTGCATCACATCCCCTTGCATCCCCAGGGACCACCACGGCACAGTGCCACCGAGACACAAGGTCATTGGAAAATGGCTCAGCACAAGGTAAAAGGACTCACCAGGAGAATCCCCCCTTTGCCCATCAGCAGCAGGAGCCCACCAGAGACATGCCCCTGTGTGAGGACATCTGCTCCTCACCTGACTCTTCATGGTGTCTCAAGCAACACAGCATGAAGATACTCCCTCTCCTGGGGCTTGGACACTCATCTTCTGTGCTCAGAGCTCACACAACAATCCAGTCACACTCTGCCACCCAAGGTAAGAGAGACATCAGGTCCATCTGGTCACTCCCCACCATGATACGCTGCCATGGGATGTGCCTTCAGCTTCCCAAGCACCTTCAGACCTCCACGCTACAGAGCGGGGCTGAATCCAGAGCCCTCATTCCCCCGCAGACAGGTAAAGGCAGAGCAAGAACAAGCTGACACGTACATTTTTAATTTCCTACTGCAATAAATCTCTGCTCCCTCTGAGGACTGGTTTTCTCCCTTTGCTTCTGGTGCTGACTGACCATCTCTGCTAGCAGGAAAAGCCACCAGAACATACCAGTACCACCTGCCTGGAAGAAGCAATGGTCTCCATCTACCCAAGTCACCTGCACCATTTCAAACTGCCTTTAAACAGGATGGCAACAGGTGGAAACACTTTCTGCAGCTGAAGAAGGGCTTACAGCTGAGCCCCAGGATGGGGAGTGGGTACAGAAACCTCTCGAGCCTTCTGCAGAGGGGCACTTTGCACAGATGGTGCTGCAGGGGTGCGTGCCAGCTCTCCTCCCTGTTCCTCTGCTGCCGTGAACACCCCGAGAACAAACAGAGCCTGTGGATTCCTGTCTCTCCTGCTGCAAAACCGTGCCCAGCTCCTCCATCTGCCGGGCTGCAGTTGGTGAACGGCTTGCGAGGCATGTGGGATCCTCAGCACGTGTGGCAGCGGCAGGAAATGCCGGGGAACGGGCCAAGAAGTGTTTTTATAGGGACCATATGGCAGCTCCAGCCTTGCACGCTGGTCTCCATCTCAGATGGAGCCCGCAGGGCTGCCAGGGTGCATGGGGACCGATGGTGGGGACAAGAGCAGAGTGGGCAGAGCTGGCCAGCACGGGATCCACCGTGATGTACACCTCTGCTCCATCAGCCCTGCACATCTGCACCCAGCAAGCATCTGGTTACCTTGGGAGATGCCATTTGGATCACGTTAATGTGTCAGACGTCCCCAGCAAGGGCAAACAGATGCTGTACTTCCAGACCACTGCGAGGCTGCTCAGACACGCAATGCACACAGAGGTGGCGTTTGATGGCCCAGTTAATGGCTGGCTGAAGCAAGGAGGGCTGGACCAAGCGGTGCCAGCCTGGCTGAGACCAATGTTAAAGGCAGCAGAATGACCCAGGCCTTCAAGGCTGAAGTCCTTCATGGATCCAGCCTGGAGAACTGCACTCTGTCTATGGCTCTGCCATATGGCCCAGGACTTCACTCCCCTGTGCTGCAGCCCAGATTTGCCGTCAATATTAGGAAGCAATTTAAAATCAGTAGAGCTCTTCAAAAGGGTTAGCAAGGGTTAGCTTTACTGTTGGCGCTGGGTCTGTCCTGAGCTGGCAGGTACTCCAGGTACGCTGCTGGTACAGAGGTCAGGTGCCAGATGGCAACCGTTCGAGGGCAAAAATACTCCAGGCTTTCAGCACAGGAACAAGCAGATGGTGAGCAGCATCCCCCAGCACAGCCAGAGCTGAGCTGCCGAAGAAGCTAGTGAGTGGCCAAAGGCAGCTGTAAATAATGAAGCAGCAACCACAGCCTGGCTCCAGGCAGCAGCCGCAGTTCTCTGCTGCTCAGCCTGCAGCTTTTTAAATGGTCCTGGCATCTCATCTAGAGATAAACACAGGCAGGGGGGCAGAGAGGGATGGGGGCCAGGTGGAAATCCCAGGACCTGTGATACCCCAGGGTTGGCAGAGAGGGATGGAAAGGGTCTCAGCCCCCCTGGCAGGGAGTGGGACCAGCCTGACCTGGCGCTTAACGCTGCATCTTGGAGGGTGAGAGCAGCCAGTCCCAAAGTAATGCTGCTTATTAGCAGAAAATACAGTGTGAGCATGGCTAACAAAGACCCTGTCCCCCAACCTCCAGAGATGCTCAGGTCAACAGAAGAAACAACTTCTGTGCAGGGGGGGACTGTCCTGAAACAAGCCCTGTGAGACATAGCCAAAAGCACCACCAAGAATCTGAAGCCCAGCCTGGATCACACCTTCCACAGCCAAACACTCACAAACATTGTCTTCCCCATCTAAGACTTGGGCTCTCCAGCCTGGAAAGCAGAAGAGGAAGTGGGACTGTGATGGGGCCCCTAAACCTAACCTGACACAGGGCAGGGAGCCATCATGGCATGAGAACTGGAGGGCACCTGTGGAAGGAGGTTTAACACATGGAAAAGGCAGGACTTTGCCACCCAAGAGCCAATTAATCCCTGGAGCTCCCTGCTACAGGACGCTGGGGAGGCTATAAATTCAACTGAGTTTGAAAAGCAATTTCCAGCTACTAAAGCCAAAGGCCTCCAAAATTCCCATGCTATAGCTTGCCAAATCTTGGGAGGATTTACACCAAGAAGAGTCTGATTGGGATGAGCCCTCTCCCTCAATAAGGAGCAGGAGAGAGGACCTGAGCCCACCTCTCTGGCACAGCGATGGGGCGCATACCCACCTGTGCGTGTCAGGCCACTAGCATGGGCTGCCCAAGGTGTGCGTGAGCGTGGCAGAGATGGGACCCTGCTTGCACGTGCCCGACCGTGCCGCCGGGTGCCTTCAGGAGGGAGAAGGGCTCCAGGGCAGGCGCTTGGCAGTGGCACCACGGGGCATCAGTACCTGCGGGAGCGAAGAATGCTGAGCATGAGATAATGAAGACCTCCACGGTGTCTGCACACACAGCCTGGCCATGCCTGCACAAATTGGGGACAGGCTGGGGTGCTGTGCAACCTGTCTGAATGCCCCTCAAAGACAGAACATTACCTCATCTGTGCGGGTTCCCAGACACCGTTCTCCTATAAATGTGAATTGTTTTTACCTAGGGGCTCCCACCATTTGCTCCTCTGATTTTCCCTATGATTTTTGGCTGTTTAAGGGATTTTTGTTCTCCCCAGCTGGAGAAGCACCTTGCCAGAAGAGGATCAAAGCAAAATCCTTTAGCAACACGGTCAAGCCCAGAAGGCTTGTGCTCCCGTCTCACCCAGCAGCAGGCAGGGGAGCTGCTATGCAGGGGCTGCTGGAAACACCGAGCTGAGCTGGAGAGCCTGGGCTGGTGAAGAGGGATTTGGGACAGGCAGGGCTTCCCTCATAGGGATCTAACAAATCTGTCTGCAATGAGAGAGGGATGGTGAGAGGAAAGCCCGTCTCCCCTCTAGTGTGTTGAGCATGTGCCCTAAGCATGGGCTGCAAAGCCACACCATGGGACAGTTTTTTTAGGGTATTTTTCTTTCCCTTTGGGGATGCCTAAATGACTGGGCACTAATCTAGGGCCTGGGGAAAACTGGTTTCCAGCCCCTCCTCTGCTACTATCCTCTGTGGTGACCACGGGCACATTACCTTGGTCCTCTCCTCCGCGATGCTCCACCGGTGTCAGCGGGCAGGAGCCCCCCTTGCCCAGCCAGGGCAGGGCTGGGGAAGACGTTACAGACTCGGAGGGATTTTTGTCTCTGTGAGGACTATAGGAATACAGTAAACCGACAGTCAACACTGGGCTAAAATGAGGTGAACACATAAGAGGATTAATCAGAGATAAGGAGTGATGGAATAAAATTCGCAGCACTTTTCTCCCTTATTTGCGTGACACTTCAGCTGCGTGATAGGGGCTTGGAGTGACACCAATTCCCCACCGCAGTCTGGCCACTCTCTGCTGCTCAGTTACTGCTGCTGATTGAACTACTCAGCTCCTGTGTTCCCTGATTTTAACCATGGAGACCTTCATGTTGTATTAACTTTGCTTTCTGGCTGTACTGGAGACAAATACTCCCAGCCATGTGGGGAAGAGAGGGTGATGGGTGCCAGCCCCAGGCGCTCCTGCCCCTCTCATGCTGGCACGGGCAGCTTGAACCCAGACTGAGCCTTTCCTGCAAGAGACCCCAAATGCACACCACGTGTCCCCAAAGCCTCGTGCTCCTTGGGGACAGGCTCTGGCTGCTGCACGGTGCCGTGGCTCCTCTCCGGTGGCAAGGCAGCAGAGCATGGCTCCCTCCACACCTGCCCGGGCACCAGGCGAGGGAACCGACAGCTGCCCACCTTGCTCCAAAGGATTTGTCGGAGAAGAAATTTATTTCTGCACACAAAGTCCAGAGGGGAGTTAAATAAATGCGGGATAGTTACAGATCCTTTACATCCCATTCACGAGAGGGCACGGTCTGCATCCCCTCCCAAGTGGCAGTGAGGAAGATTTAGGGAGGCTGTTAGCCCCTCTCTGCCAGCACTGCAGAAAGAGGCTTGAAAATCCAATCAAGCACTTTCCTTTGGGCCCTTATGAATTCCAGGACTTTCGGTCTGGATTTACAGAGAGCAATTTGCTCAGCTGATGACTTGCTGGAGGTTTTCAGGACTGCTATCTCCATCCAGCACAGTGCAGAGCAGAGCAGGGAAGGGGCCTAAGGGAAGGGATGCCAATGGAGGAGGCAGGACTGCAGAAGCAACAGCAACATCACCAGCCCAGGTGGCTGCATGACAGCCCCTGGGTGCAGAAGGAGCATGAGTCGGACCCAGCGAACTCACCCAGCACCTCCCAGTGTGGGCCAGTGACGCACACCTCAGCCCTGCCAGCCCTGCCAGCCTGTCCAGGGCGAGACCTCACCTTGACATAGAGGTGGCAAACCCTGGAGCATTTCTGGCAGCACAATGTCGGTGAGCAGGTACCCCAAGCCACGACAGAACTGGCCTACGAGCTT